AAATTTTACTGAAAGCTTTCATAAGTTTTTTAAATAGGTCATGACAGCAGCACATATTTCTAGCTTATATAAAATTATGCTTATATTTCTGACCTATTACAATACAATTACGATTCCAAGTCGGAAACAATCTTATCCTACACCTAGTCTTTAAATGATCTATGTACAAGTACTCTCTAAATGATGAAATGATCATGCACAAGTCTTAAACAAAAGTATCAAGATAGATAGGATGCACAAAAGCACTGGAGCCAGGTTTCTGCCAAAACGGTGCTGTTGAAACTTAATAGCCAAGGCCTTATCCTTTGAAGAATTCACTGTGCACATTAAATTACTCCCAAACTTCCTCCCATAAATAAAATTGCAAACGTATTTGTTCTCCATGCTTTTGCTTTCCTGCACATTCATTTTCAGGTTTCAGATTGCTGTCAATTTAAGCATGGAGCGTTATGCTTTGATGTTTGGCTTTAACAACTTCGTTGCACTGGTGATTCAGACAATTTTAACTGTTCTTGTAGTAGATTCAAAAGGTCTGGGACTCAGTATCAGCACCCAGGTAAGCTACATTACTCACACTGCTCTCGGTTCCTCTTCCTTCTTCCAAAAGAGGGTTCTACTCCACAATTAGCCTTTGGTAATATACTGGGTTATGTGCTAGCTTAGGGCAGTTACTCACTTGAAAAACAGGTTCATCTGAAGTGCGCTGGCAGTAGCTACTACAACCTAGTTGTCCCCCCTGTCCTGCTAATTTTGCTTTTCTCTAATAATTTTAAGAGTGTTTTCATAGAGCAGAAGGTAAAGACCACCACCTATTACTCACTATTGTTTTTATTTTGTTTTGTTCATTTCTTCAAATGCTTACTATTCACAAATTTACCCTCAGAATATCCCAACAGAAGCAGGAAGCAAGCTGAAAGGCAACCTACAGGTTTATTACTAGGGTAGTTCTAAGCTATATTGTTTCCATGGATGCACATTTAACTTACTGTAATTCTGAAAAGCTACTGATTCACAATTTCCCATTAAATTTCTAAATATGAAGTTTAAACTTGTGTACAGAATGAGGTTCAAATCTTTAGCTTCCATCTTTTCAGAGAAGAGCCAGGAAGTGCAGGGTAGCCATCCTCCTCCCTTAACTGAGGTGGGGAGAGGAAGCACATAGTACAGTACCCTCTCGTTTTACAGCCACAGACTTCCTAAAGTATGAAGTCAAGCATCCAGACTTCTTGAATCCTTTCAAGATGGGATCATTTTGGGGTGTGGGTAGCACGGAAGGGAAGGCAGCAGCAGAGGGACACTCTTAAGTTACTACCTAAGAGTAGAAGTGGTTTTTAATTTTTCCTTATCTTTCTTCCCCATTGCCATTGCCCAGTTTCTCATTTATGGCAGCTACTTCACATTCATAGCTGGAATTTTCCTAATCAGAAGCATATACACCATGACTGCCCTCAATTGCAGAAATACCAATGTGGTTGGTGAAAGCAGTGATCATGAACAGAGACAAAAGGAATGGTTGCAGGCTACAGTGCAGAAGGTGGCATCATCTGAACTTTTTCAGCTGGAAGTCGTGACGCACATAGACAGTGCACTCCTCAAGAAGTGTGAAGTTACAAGAATGTAAGGAAAACATGTCACTATATACAGATAAACTGCTACTGATGCAGTGACAGCTGTACTTTAACTTTGCTGGGGATGTACAAATACAAAACACTAAGCTTCCTTTTTAGTGTCTGTCCTGATAGGCCTATGTATTAATTAGGTCTGATAAATGCCATAGTCAACCCACACTTACCTTCAGAAACAAAATCCCTCCCAAACTAGCTTACTATTTTATACCATGGGGAGACACTTCAATTTCTGTCTAAGGCAGTCCTAAACAACACAACCAGAAGTTTAGATGTAACTAAAGCTAGTCAGGCAGTATTTTTCCTACAGATTCAATAATGTCCACTTTGGAGTCAACTGTATCAGACAGCAGCAAATTACATTGCCTTTACCATAACTTACAGATTTGCCAAGAGTCAGAAGTAAACCTGTGTTTCCCCAAAGTCAGCTCACAAGAAAGTAAAAATCATTACTTCCTGTGAAAACATAATTTTAAAAGCTGCTTGAGATTGCCTATATGCCCCAGTTAAGTTTTCCCTTCAAAAGAGCAAAATACCTGCATCTTATTCACAGTTCTGTTTCAGGAATTCTGACTAAATTTGGTCCTTTGCAAATTTATCTCTTGCCTTAGCATCTGTTTCAACATGGAGCTTGGGAGTCTGCAGCCATTAAATAACTTTGAACTGCAGCACCTGAGCATCACATCTGCCTTGTAGAACTCAGGATGTACCTCTTACAGCATCATCTTACACACATAAGAGCTGACATAATAGGATTGATAGTATTAATCTAGGTGGTCTACAAATGAATTTCTATACAAGGGCTAAAGTTAAATGCTTTGATTCTAAAACAGAAGATCCTGAAAAGCTAGTGAAAGTATCGCTTTTTAGCAACAATGCTAGTTGCATGAGCAATTGTGAGACCAACTGCAGAGGTTTCAAAGACAAAACACATGCAATTAATTAATTTTGTAAATATAGCTATTTTCAAAATGTAATCAACAAAACAACTATGGTGTCAGTTTCTGCTCAACATAAAGGAGACCCAAAACAATTCAAGATCTTCAGCTACTTATCTGGAGCTTGAAAAACTTATTGATTAAACAGACATGGTTGTGTATAATGAAAGTTGCCAACCTTTTATCTGCATTCAAGCTAGTTATGAAAAATAAGGTATTCTACTATTTCTGCAGCATAATCTAAGACTACATGACTTGCATGCTTAAATGAATTTCAGTATCTCTTAGCAGTAATCATCTTCATTCCTCAGCAGTAATTTCAATAGATGCTGATGAATGAAGCCTTACCCAAAGCTTCATTTACATTAATTTAACTGCAGAGATCACAGGATTGTTCTCCTTCCATAAGGCTGTTCATCTTGATGAGACATTTGGTAGATTTTATCCAGTTCCCTGCAATAAACATAGTTAAGTGTTTCACACATCCTTCTGAATCCTTGCAGTTCCCCTGTATTTCATAATTCAGTTCTCTATTGCATTTACGCATTACTACCCCACAACAGGGAAGCACTACAAGCTACTTACACTTTGCTAAAAATCAGTGGCGAGAGCAAGGGCATCACTAGCATCCTGGAAACCCTCCATTGCTGGGGATTTATTTAGTGAATTTCACAGAGAACCTTGGGAATTAAACTATACATCATACTCTAACCAGAACTCCAGAAGGAAAAAACATACTTCAAGTCTGTTTTAACTCTAAATATGCCAACAGAGCAAACCTATACACTTCAGTAACAATGCTACTTTAAGCAGATTGTTGTACAAGCTGCCTGTCCCCTTTGGGATCTCCAAAGCTTAAATAAAAAGAAAAATTAAAAATAAAAAAATAAAAACATATACACACACACACAGAGAAACTACTACCTCCCCACAGACAGGCAATAGAAATCAAAAGCACTGGCATAAGTAGGGTTTTTACAAGCAGCAGTCAAGTCGTTCAGCTCCCCTAGAAATAAGCAGACCTACCAATCAGGCAGAAAATGACAAGTGAAAATGTCTTACCTTCAAGAGTTTAGCTCACATGAACTTACACACCCTTTCCTCAAAAATCTATCTGATCTTATTTATTCCTGTTATCTTGAAAGGTGTTATGATTTTATTCTCCAGTGGTCTGAAGCCTTTAAGCTTGCAGTCGATGTATTCATTGTATATTTACATTCTTTGTTTAGTTCCAGTATTACACTTGACTTTAAGCCAAGTTCTCCCTTTGTTTAACACACCATCACCAACTAATCTGATGCAGTTTTATTTTTCTTGAACCTTATTAGTGTTACAGAATAGACAAGCCAGACATGTCTTCCTTGTCTACAAATTGCATGCTAGTAAGGCATGAAATATTCCAGTAAATAAAAAAATAATCAATTAATATTACACAGGAGGCATTACTTATATCAATTTTTAATCAAAAGAGTGCTATTACAGCTGTGGTACCTTGGCCTGCAATTACACACTGTTGTGATCACAACTACATCTTGTTCAAAGACTATCATTAGCTACACGCAAGTATATGACTTTTTCAGCTAACCACTTCCCCAGTAACTACCCTCCTCAGTGCTTTTAGTGTCCTTCATTACAGAACTACCCTGTCAAAATAATGCAAGTTCACTTAAGTTTCCTGTCTGTTATGTCACTTCACTTGGGCTAGAACAGCAAGCTTAATCACAAGGCCACAAAGAAACATATCTAGAGTGAGGCATGTGAAAATTTTAAGCTTAACTCACCTTTAACCATTTTGCTTTTGGTAATTCCTCTGTGTAAAAGTCTCACAGTAAATACATTTTAACCCAATAAAATGTTACTGCACAGAAATAATGCTACATGGGGTGTTTTTTTTTCTAATATTTATTTTTTTCACCTGCAAACTGTAGCAAAACATGATCAGCTTTATTATGCAGACAGGTATCCCTCTAACTTTAGAGATTTAGGCATGTATAAATAGAAGAGCTCTTAGGAAAGGAAAACATTGAGAAATGAACAAACTTTCAATTTAACTTCATGACTTCCAATACCAATGGTTAAAATGATGTAGCTCATTCATTCCAAGAGATACAACAGCACCTTAAGTGGCTGATCTATTCCCCGGTAACATTTTTCACATAACAATGTGTTAAAGTTACAAATACTGATATGCACAAATAGCTATTTTCTAAGAAAAATATGTACAGTACTGCAGCATAATGAATGTGGTATCTGCAATAACTTATTAGCCAATTTTAATATACATGATACCGCTACTTTTTACTTGCCAGCTCACAGGATCAAGGATGTTACCATAGCCCTCCATTTTGCACGTTATTACCTGGTGGGGGGGTTGATTTTCTTGGGGTTTTTTGTGGCTTTTGTGGTGTTTTTTTGTTTCTGTTTTGGGGGGGGGGGGGTGTTTATTAATATTTTTCATTTTCTTAAAGGTATACAATGCAGGCTTTTATTTTTACTTCTTAAAGACTTCTTTTGTGTTTAAAGCTAGTATCAGTGAAACAAGACAACAGTGCAAGAGGCGCAGAGATGTTATGTGACCACATAAGAGTTCTTTTGGGTAAAGTGTCTATAAGGCTATAAGAAAGGATTGGTTGATGGGCTTCCTGTTGGGAATTGTCCTGTTGGTGCACCAGCCTGGGGGGGGAATAAAAGAAGAAAAATAAGATTTCTGATTGTAAATCGTTAATGCAAGATACATTAAAAAAACCACCCTATTAGGATAAATTTTTCTTATGTGGCAGTCTTTTTCCCCTGGTACTTCTCAAATTATACTACTGTAAGAGCAAGGTATACAAGTACCTCTATTTTGATCTGACTAGCCTTACAAATGCCATGTCATCGTCATACTGAACTGCATGTAGGAGATCCATGTGCTACCTTCCCTTACTTGAAGAAAAACAAACAAAACAAAAATCCAAAACCAAACAAACAAAACCCAGAAAAAAAAAACAAACCACAAACCCAAAATCTTTGTGTGTCTCTAATTGAACTGTTACACATTATACCTCTTCAGACAGAACTCAGTATCGTGCAACAACTCACCATAAAAGGGTTACTAGGTACTCCAACAGCTGCAACTTGTCCAAAAGAAGTTACTAGAGGCTTTGCCTGTCCAAACGCAGCAAAACTTGCTCCTTGGAAAGACAAGTGAAAAATATTAATACTAGTAGAGTACAAAGAGTTCTTTGAAACAGCTCCTACACAAAAATAAGTGGAAGCTTGGCAGGACTGATCCCACTGAAACACTATCAGGAATCTGAAGTGTAAAAAATATAGCTGGGCTTTCTGTTTGTTTTCAACTGTTTGGAACTAATCAATTTCTACACATGCACTTTTTTCAGTGTATAACTTTATCATTTAAATAAACAAGTACTTCCTAATCTTCTCTTGCCTGTGTTCTGTGAAGTTAGAGAAAATGTTACAATCAGTTGCAGAAACTCCAAAAATGAAGGCAAAGCAATCCAATCCAGCCTGCTTAAAATCCCTTCTAAGCCAAGGAATACTTTTAATTTTAGTATCAGATATGGGTAAAATTTCAGTTATGTCGTTGCACACAGACAAGTCAGAAAGCACAACACAGAGTGTGGGAACCCCTCAAAGTTATCAAGTTCACAAAGAAATAAATATGCACCCATTTTGCTAACTTACAGAAAAATAATTTTCTCCGTGCTTCCAATTTAAACATTATCTAAAATGTATCAACCTACCATTTGGCTGCTGAGCAAAAGCAGTCTGTTGAGAGAAAGCTGCCTGGGTTGGGAACGTGGGCTGCTGGAAGTTGCCACTAAGACTAGTAGGAAGAAGACTGTAGGAGGCAGGAGTTCCAAATCCTGCAGGCATGCTCACAGATGCAGTACCAAATGTTGCTGCTGGTAGGCAAAAAATAACATTCAATTATTTGCAAGAAATCACTTTTTTTCCATGAAACAAATTACTATAATGTCATGTTAGGAAAAGCTTCCTAATGCCTCAGTGACCAAACAGTAAGTTAGGTTCAACTTCTACAGCCACTGAACTGATTTGTTAGCTTGGATCATCACCAACTAGGTGCATAATTTACTTCTGCACTTTAAAAATGGAATCTAAGATTTGCTAGATCCAGCACACCCAGATATACCTTCTGACAAGGAATTACTTTTGATGTTGTCTGAACTATCATACGCTTCCCTCACAGCTTTTCTGGTAAATGCATGTATCAGAAGCAAGCACTTTCAGGCAGCATAAGCCTCTCTGGTTTTCTCCTCCTGAGAAAAGCATGAAAGTATCTTCCTACTGAAGTTGCATTACAGGAAGTTACAAAAGAAGAATAACAAAAAAGTCCTAAGGGATACATGCATCCCCTCTCTCCTCATCCCATCATTTCATAGGAAATTCTCACCATGCACATTATTTGCACACAAAGTTCCATTTGCAAACACTCTTACTGTGGAGGTAACGTCAAACAAAAAAAAACCCACCACCCCAAACTTCTCATCTGATTCTCTGCTAAACATTTCAAGTAAAGAACATTCAGCTCATATGCAATTGCACATGCCTTCAGCAAATAAAGAGGAGTACATCAAGTGTGAGAATGTAGTAACAAAACCATTATTCAGTCTTTTGGGAGTTATTCTTGAAAGGAGAAGTGTAAAGACAAGAGTTTCGTTTGGTGCAAATACAGACATCAAGCATTTTATTCTAGTTAAACACTGGATAGGACTTTTCTTTTGATGGTGGAAGTTAGATTTTATGCAAGCTCAACTGTTTAATAAAAATAAAAAAAAAAAAAAAACCAAACATGTATTAAACTAACACAGTTTAACTATCTGTTGAAAAATTTACCCTAAAAGTACTCAAGGGTAAGACATTATACATAAGCTGTTGACAAATTACATGCAAAACTAATGTACTAACATTGTTCAAGTTACAGTCAGCAGAGAAGCTATTCAGCAGGAAAACTTGCTAAAACAGCAAATGAAAGCACAACAAAATGAGCAGTGACTTGGGATATCCCAAAAGGCATCAAGCTGCTGTTGGTAGAAACTTGAATCACTCAACTTGTTAACATTATATTGTGATCATGGAGGATATCAATAATGGTTTTGTTTTAGTTGCTTAATAGGATGTTTATGTATGCTCTTCTCTCCCCTTACCCAGTTGCCAAATGCTCACACCCATTCCATTCAAAAAAAAAGGAAGGTCTTCCAAAATTCCACGTGCAGAGAACCAGATAGCTACCAATAAGCTTTTACAAGCAAGAACAATTAGCCACAAGAAACTCAATACCAAATGTGGCCACCTACCAAAATGAGCCTGAGGAAATATGTGAGAGTGCATTGCTCCCGAGAGGCCTTATGGAAGCCACAAAGAGACCAGACAATGTCAAATCATTTACACACTCTTGAACAGTCATTTCTTAGTTATATATAAGAAATATACACACATATATGTACCAAAAAAAACATCTATAGCATACTAGCAATAGATTAAGCTGGAAAACCATTAGAAACAAATGCTACAAATCAGATCTCCCATGTAATAAATACCAAAGTTCATGCAGAAAGAAGGCTTAGCATAAAAATACAAGCTACAAGTTTACACCTAACACTGAAAGGATAGAATATTATCTTTACATATAGCCACTATCTCTGTCACCCAGTACCTAACATCAGTATAGCTGCCGAAGGGTTAGAACCTCTGCAAGCCAAGGACAGCAGTTTAGAAGGTGGAAGGTCAGAGTTACCATATTCAAACAAATTCATCTAATGAGGCTACAAGTTCTTAACCATGATTCCAAATCAGAAGTTAGGAACGAGATTAAAATAAGGAGAAAGATATTTTGGACATTAAACAGCTCAACAAGTTTAATTGCGTAATAACTCAAAAGGCACTGAAACAGAATTCTATTTCAGCAGACAACAGGAATTTGAGCAATTCAGTTTTAGCTCAGCCTGATCAGTTTAATTCAAACTATGTAAAGCTCTGACCAAAGCACAACTCAGTGTTAAAACACATACATCAGCAGATTTAAAACTGTGAAAATCCAGTTAATAGATAAAAGTGCCAAAACTTTGCAGTGCCTTTGAAGAGGAAAATTAGGACAACCTAGCAGTCATCTAAATCCAAGTTCAGCTTTTTAAAGAAAAGCACAAGTTGGGTTTTTTATAAAGCATTTCAGGTTTTGTTTATGAAATTATGATTCTACAGAATCCTCCCCAGAAAATTAATGTAATTCATGAGTGTAAAGATTATATTTAACCATATGTTTTACTGTTACAAGACAGAAAAGTAAAGGATACCAATGTACTGAATAAGCAGACTGGTGAAGAGGTAACAGCCCAAAAGTTATGACTCTCCTGGTTTTAGCTCCAGCTCTCTGGTTTTGAGAGCTTTAAGGACTTTGAAATAAAGAAAAGAGCAAGTGTACAGCTTAGCAGCAAGGTTTTCAAGATTCCTCATGTTAGGGCAACCTGCTATGAAGCATGCCTCAAAGCCAAGGTTATAGTCTAAGAAGGCACCCAAAAGCATGGCCACCTTTAGAAACAGAAGAATAACATCCTCTGCTAAATTAAAAAAATTTGTTTTTGTTAAGAAAAAGTTGATTTCTGCAGCCTGTTCATAAATATTGTACTCTACGTTGAACACACACACACCCCCCACAGCAAATAGACTAGAGACAGATAACACAAAAATGTTCAGAAGCAAGTGACCCAGCTATGAAAAAAAAAAAAAAAGGAGAATCAATGCAAGTCTTGAAAGAAATTTTCTCCAACAGTTAAGTGTCTTTTTTCCTAACCTGTTGCTCCTCGGCTATTGGTCTGGAATGGATTTGTTGAAGGTACCACTGGGGCAACAGGGGCAGCTACAAATGGATTTGTGGAAGGTGTTGCTGAAAAATCAAAGACAACTTATTTAATAAGATCTTTTAAAAACAGCCAATCTGACTCAATATATTAAGTTTATACAGCTTTTATACAGAGATACATATCTAAAGTTGTATGAAAAACAGGAAATGATAATAAAATGCTTAATATGAAAAGCATCGTAACAACTGTACTTATTTTTTTTGCATCCTTTAGTAACTATAATATCACTTGTGTCAATGTATAACGCTATGAACAAAAAATTAATAAGATGCTTTGTTTGCTAACAGTCCACAAAAAAATTTAATAACACTTATATACCTCCAAATGGAGCAGGCACACTCGAAGATGCAGGCTGTGTCTGTGCAGTAGCAGCCACGGGTACAGTTCCAAAAGCATTGCTGAAAATAATTGATACATCACTGATGTCAGAATTGCTTGTTTAACACTTAAATACTATTTACAATTACTGTTGGCATATAAATAAAAAATAAAAAAAAGGAATGCTTACGTGCAATTTGCAAACTGCTACATAATTCACTGATGCACAGGACTGAGCCCCTGCTGCCAGGGTCAGAGACTGTAACTAGTGCTAAGCAATGAAAAGTCATCTTCACCACCAGCAGGAAAAAGTATTAAACTGAGGCCATTAACAGAAAGGTTGCAAAGCAGAGGCTATGGGGCACTTGCAATACCAAATGGAGCTTTAACAGGCATTTGGTATTTATTACTTTTATGATATAAAAAAAAGTGGTGGCACTATTTACATTATAAATATCTGAATAATTATTTTGCCAGGGATGATGCTACGAATTTCAGTATGCATGCAATCTGTACAGGAAAGCATTACTGTCCAACAGGTTTACCATGCAACAACTAGAAAAGTGCAGAGAACATTCAGCTGACAGGAAGTATTCTTATTTTTATCATATCCCATCAAAGAGTACTGCTGTTATTTAAAACACAGGACACAGTTTCAGAAGTACCTCTAAACTCATTCAATATTTCCCCATTTAGGTAAGAAATAACAGATTCAAGAAACAACTTTGAGTTACTTTTCTGCATACTGCTGAAATCCACAAAGAAAGTCAGCTACTTCTAACAAAGTACCTGCTAACTTTACTGGTGGAAGTATACGCGTTACTAGAGGTTGCTGTAGAGCTGAACACGCTGTCTAATTCTGCTAAAGCAGCATACTTGTCTGAAGATGCACTTGACTGATTTGGGGCTGACAAGGCAGGACCTGCTGATGCTGACACTACTGTACTGAAGCCACTTCCTTGCTCACTACCACCTACAAAGAAAGAAACCGAATTAGAAATAATGAAGAAAGTTTCGTATTTTGCGCTGCCAATGTTGAGAACAAAATGAAAGTTTATGGAGAGTTTAAGTTTCAGACTCAAAAATTAAATATGCTCTAGGGCATACAGGAGAAAAAAAAGTATATAACCAGCCATTAGCTATTTGCAAAGTGTCATGCTTTTATAGATATTCTGTAGCTTCAAAGAGTTTGTTTCCCTGAAAAATATTAAGTCAATGCTACCATCATCTTCAACTGGAAAATTTGATAAAACACATACCCTCAAATAACCCATTTCAGAAAAAAGCTCTACACTGCAAACCAACACATTTGTTTATACACCATTTGAGAAAAAAGTTACAGAATAACTAGGATTTTTTTCCTCCTTAAAATCAACTAAATCCAAGTATCACTGCTATTTGATATAAAACTTAAAGCAAAGTCTTTTTATGTCAGAGAGGTAAGAAAGCTACTCTGGCAGTTCTCTACAACAACTGTAGCTCTCCATTCAAGAGCCTTTGCTATATGAAATATAGCATGAATATAAAAAATATATTTATACATTTATATATTTTCATCATTGTGATAAGAATTATTTAGATATTTCCACTTGGGTTCCCAAAGAGCAGACTTCTGATGCAGACTTTTGGAGGAAACTTTAGTCATAAAACTTCCATCTTACGTATAAAGGGTTCACCGACATGAAATTCTACTGATAATTTAAAGATAGGACATTTTGAAATACAGTTACTACTTCAACAAGTACAGCCATCCCTGTGGTACACATACAGATGTAGAATAAGCACATCAAATAACAGAATTCAATACCTTGCCCTGCGCTGAAGATATTATCTAAATTAGCAAGAGCTGCGTATTTGTCAGCTGACTGTAGACTGAGTTTATTCACTGCAGCTTTACTGGCTGCAGTTGCTGTTGTGTTGCTCTGAGAATCATTGAAGGCTCCAAAATCAGCACTGGGGGATTTGGGGAAGTTATCAAAGTGAGCAAAGTTAGCATTCACTGATCCAGCACTTCCACCTGCAACAAATTAAGTTAAACATGATCAACACTCCAAAGCTAGAGAAAGTTTTTCTAACTGTAACTGAAGGCACAATAATCCCACCTCTTTCTGGTTGCATGAGGCAACCACACCCCACCCATATAACTCCTGCCCATTTCCTTCAAAGTTACATCAGATCATCAGAATTTTTTTTTCTATTTTTCAGTCTGCAGATCAGGGACAAAAAAGCCCCAAACAGCTTATATCAGTCATAATTTGGTCTGGAAAAACTATATGCTGTTAGGTGTTAAAAGTAATTTCAACAATAGTATTTTGTTAAAGGAAAAAAAAGTGCATTTGCTTGAATGCTTAATATTCAAAATGCAGAAGCTTCATTTTCCTGACATACGTTTAATGAACACCTACTATTTGCATTTACTTCACAGTACAATGTTTAACCATTTCAGATGTCAGTCATCATTCAAGCAACAAAAAAAATAGTGCCTAGAAGTCCAGAAGTAGTACGATTTCATGCCAAGGATTAGAGAGATAGTTTGGAAAGAGATGAGGGGGAAGACACAACACAGCTCTTTTTATACCAAGTCCCCACTAACATCAGATGCATAAATTTATTTTAAAAATCTGATTTAGGTCCACACAGCTGAACTTCAGTTCAACCTTTAAACTATGAACTTCCATCTCTTCAGTGTCCAGACAATTTGATTTGGACAGGTCGCATAAGTTTCAGTAAGGTGTTCCATTATGTGTATCACACTTTATAACAGCTGGCTGAGGATTCCACTCATACTGCAGAACACGCTTTAATAGCATAATCAACAAGTTAAAACATATGCAACAGTACGAATGAAAATGCTATACTACAATGGCATAAAATGAAGCAAGCTGAGTTTTCCACTGCGTGGAACTTACTGTGTACAGCCTGGAGAGGAAAAGCTGAAGTAAATTCACCAAAACTGCAGCTAGATGAAAGCGTTCTGAACGCTGGAGAGCCAGAAATTGTGTGTGGGTTAAAGTTAACATAAGGAGGGAGAAAGAAAATTTGAAAAAAAGTTTTAAACAACACCACACTCAAAAGAAGGAAAAAAAAAAAAAAGGAAAAGAAAGTCAGTCAGCCAAAGATCTAGACAAACAGCAAATGTAAGCTCAAGCAGAAGTTCTAAAGCATGATCAAACTAAAGGAAAGCAAAATGAATCTTAGCAATAGGCTCTACACATGAAGCCAGACATACTGAAGTGTGTGCATATGTTATACATACACATAGGTACACACTTTTTTCGGTACTGTGATGTGCTTTTGGGTCCACTGAAACACTTCTCTTACAAGATGGTCAATTTAATATTTATCAAAAGCAGTGTGGTTTAGTCTTTCCATAGTTGTTTCAGATGTAGAGCTAACAAACACATAGCGCCATAAATCAGACTTGTGAGCTGCATTGGGTGGGTGGGTGGGGGAAATAAAAATCAACACCAAACAGAAGGAATTCATTTTGAGTTTCCCCAGAGCTTCAGACTGCTTGATTATATTAAAGCAGGCAGATGCAAGAAAACTTAAGTACCTTCCAACATAAAGGTAAGGATTATTTCAATTAAGTATTAATCAAAAGTTCTAGGAGTTCTACCTGTATTTTGGGGCTGAAAAGACTGCCTTGCTGTGGGGAAACCTCCAAAATTACTCGAGCCATTAGACTGTCCAAATGCATCAAAGTTTGCAAAACCTGCATTTGCAGAGTTCTGCGCTGTAAATTGCAAAGGAACAAAACATGTTAATGGATATGGGAAATAAACACAAGAACAGATGTATCAACTGAATTCATGGTTATGACAGCCTCCAAGGGTTATGTCCTACCTTGCAATTTTTTTTTTACATGAAAAAAATTATACACGGTATTCTACAATTGAATGTCGTCTTTGAACAAGTTTTGACAAATCACCTTCACACAGCTGTACCAGTTAATACTACTCTCCTCACACATGCTACTATTCACAACTGCATGATCCAAGAGTCCATTTCAGCTTAACCCTAGTGTTTGCAGTGGTGGCTGGTCAGGGAAAAATAGCCTAGAAGCACAAAATACCAGATGTACACCTGTAAAATCCCAAACAGGTATCATTCTAGTTTATAAAATTAGAACTGTGGACTAACTGAACATTTCTTTGTGTATAAAAATTAGAACAAATTCTTACGACATACTGACAAATTGAATTCCTCTTACACAAAGTGCTTCTTCCTTGGGTGAATTTAGTTTGGCACCACTTGAATAGTCTTGGCTATGTTTATAAAATTCATTTCACTGGAAAATTCCGTTTTTAAAAAACCAGTACAGAAATGTGGAAAAATCAATACCACTGTTAAGAAGACAGCATTCATAAGAGTGTATCTACAAAATTCCAGGTTTGGTGGATACAGAATTTCAGGCTTTGCCTTTCATGCCTTACTATAGGAGAGAATAGAAGTTAACACCCATCTAATTTCAAACAGCTGGACATTCAAACACCTATAGATTCAATAGTAAATGCATGCCTAACTGACAAGCCCCGCAGAAAGTCTGAAATTCTCTTCTTAGCAAGGAGTAAGGAAAAAAAACTGGTTTTAATCAAAGGCAAACCAAACCCCTATATATAGGTAACTTCAGTTACTACCTAAAGGAAGCCTACAAAACACCTTCTAGAGTAACAGATAGTAAAATGTCCCATCTTGGGGTCAACATTTGTTTATTCTGAACAGATCTGGCAGATTAAATATATACAGAACCAAGAAATTACGCTGATCATTTGAGTACTATTAGTAAAAAGCCAGATAATGCTAATAAAAAGATTAATTATTTCAGTTAATTTCTATTAAAAAACATCTGTACAACGGATTTATAAGCTAAAAGACATTTTTATACAAATTACTGTATTCCTCAATGCTGCAAATATAAATGAAAATGCAACTATTTCCCTTCACAGCAGATACAGGGAGCAAGGGTGATGGCCAACTTTACTTGATACCACTTTTTACTAGAAGTGTGCATGCATACTGGGCTTACATGGCATAGTTTTGGTAGCAGGGAGTTGCAGGGATGGCCCCTGTGAGAAGTGATCAGAAGCTTCCCCACTTCTGACAATTTCAGCTGGCTCCAAAACAAACCTGTTGCTGCCCAAAGCTGAGCCCATCAGCAATACAGATGGCACCTCTGTGACAGCGTATTTAGGAAAGTATAAAAACCACTGTGCGACAGCAGTGAGAGAGGAGTGAGAAAAATATGAGAGAAACAAAACTGCAGACACAAAGGTCAGTGAAGGAGGGAAGGAAGTACTCCAGGCCCAAGAGCAGAGATTCCCCTGGAGCCCATGGTGAGGCAGGCTATTCCCTGCAGTCCATGGGGGTCCATGGATATGGAGTAGATATCCACCCAGAGCGCAGGGAGGAAGGACCCCACACTAGAGAAGGCAGAGATGGCCTGTAGGAAGTTGGAGCCTGTGGAAAGCTTATGCTGGAGCAGGCTCTTGGCAGAAGCTGTGGCTAATGCAGTGGATCCCACAGAGCAGCAGGTTTTCTGGCAGGAGCTGTGATCCTGTGGGGAACCCACTCTGGAGCAGTCCATGCCTGAAGGACTGTACCCAGTGGAAACGACCCATGCTGGAGCAGTTCTGTAGAACAGTAGCCCATGGGAAGGGTCCACATTGAAGAAGTGTGTGACTGTTTCCCACTGGAGGGGAAGGGACCCCACAATGCAGCAGGGAAACAGCATGAGGAGATACAAATGGTACTGATGAGATGCTATGGACTGACTGCAATGCTCATTCCCCACCTTCCTCACCAGGAGAAGGTAGCAGTCAGAAGTGAAATTGAGCCTGGAAAGGCAGCATAAAGGTGGTTTCAGTTCTATTTTTCACTATCCTACTCTATTATTAACTGACAATAAATTAAGTAATCTTCCTCACGTCAAGTCTGTTTTGCCCATGATGGTACCTGGTGAGTGATTTCTCTTGCCTTGACTCAAGGTTTTTCCATCATATTTTGTCCCCCCATCCTGCTGAGGAGGGGGAGAGAGAGAACAGCTTGATGAGCAGGTTGCCAGCCAGTCAAGGTCAGCCCACCACAGCACATAAGTCAAGAAGGAAGGAATGAATGAATGAATAAATAAATAAGAAAGGAAGGAAGGTCTTGTGCAAGTTCTGTCCAAAAATTTTCACTTTTAAAGTGTGCCGAGAGAAAAACTTGACAGAGAAAAAAGTTTCCATTATACTGCCTGTATTTCAAACAGCATTCTACACACTTAAGACTCCAAATTCCACAAAGTTACTTTAACTTTCAATCAGTAGCTTTTTAAAAGGAATAGATTATTGCGCCTTGTTTTAAAATCAAGGTGATGTTTTCATCCTGATACATCAGTTGGATAGGGGCTACTGAGATTGATGTTTCATTAACCAAATAACGATTAAGCAAATACATGTTGTCCCTGGAATTTACAAATTTTTTTTCTTTTTAACCACTCACATGAACAGGATACCATGTCAAGAATCTGAAGTATCTTTTGGATCTAGTTTAAGAACTGGAATGTATTACATTACAGGCTACTTTTAAGAATTTTATTGCATCAGCTGACACAAAGTAGAGTTGGAACAGTAGAGCTGTAAAGATATTAATCTTGCTTTATTTTATGCTGTATAGTTTAAACCTATGTAAAAGTGGCATAAAGGTAAAGAGCAGGTAAGATCTGTACCTTCCTGTACCCGAACAACATGTAGATTGGCAATTCCAAAATTCAGTTCTCCGTGAAGAAACACAAGAACCACCATAAGTTAAGGAACTGCAGCAGACTGCAGAGTGGCATACATTTACAACTGCTGTTGTGACTGCAGATCACTGAGGCTGTACAACAGCTAGCTCAAGTATGACAGCACCAGTAATTGCAATGCAAGCTGCCTCTACAAACCTCTGCAAGGTTTGCACTAGGATGGAAGAAAGGCATGAAACATTGCAAAACCAACCTAAATAGAGTCCATATATATTAAATTACAGAACTGAAACTATGTCATATTCCTGTGTTTCTTCTGGGTAAAGCCCCTTCCTTTATACCAATGATAGAGTTATGTTGTGTCACTATGCCTCTTAAATCTTTCGTGCAAATATTCCATTAGCTTATAGAAAGTTTACATGCCAAAAATTTTTCATCTTGTTTTTATCACATTTTTATCATAATTTTTATCATAGAGAACAGTTATCTACCATCATCTTCAAAATCTCAATTTGGCAGTAGCTATGAAACTTCATTAATTAAATACAGACAGTAAAGAGAAGGTCAGCAGGTTTCCATTTCAACATGGAACAGTGTCCTGAGACAGCTCAGTACATTAGAAAAGTCTGGGGTGGGGCAGGGAGACAGGCAGAAAAAAAAAGGAAACATACGCCTTAATTGCAGAAACAATAACTTCTACAGGAAGACCTTAAATTTGCTGGTGCTCTTCAATGATTTTTTTAATTACTCCATAGTGTACATGAAGGGAAAGACAGAAGTCCATTCCCTGTCAACAAGCCCTAAAACAAGAACACAGGGCCATAAAACAGGAAAGCAGTGCCAGGCTAAGTGCAAGTTCTTTCATCCTCTGCTGTAGCGTGTGATTACTAACAAAAATTACATAGAATTATAGAATAGTTAGGGTTGGAAAGAACCTTAAGATCATCAAGTTCCAACCCCCTGCCATGGGCAGGGACACCTCGCTCTAAACCGTATTACCCAAGGCCTCGTCCAACCTGGCCTTGAACACTGCCAGGGATGAAGCATTCACAACCTCCCTGGACAACCTATTCCAGTGCCTCACCACCCTAACAGGAAAGAATTTCCTCCTTATATCCAATCTAAACTTCCCCTGTTTAAGTTTTAACGCATTACCCCTTGTCCTATCACTACAGTCCCTAATGAAGAGTCCATCCCCAGCATGTTTATAAGCTCCTTAAATAAGCCTTTAAAACTCATTTTTGCCAAAGCTAGCAGACTGATCAACCCTCCTTCTGTTCCAAAGAGAAGTCTGTAACATTTCATTATTAGTTTCAGTTGACATTACCGCGTGGTAGCACACACAGAACAACCCTTACAAATGTTTTACCCCAGCAAATCAGAAAACACCCTCAGATAAACTGCAGTACACATTCTGCTAACACATGCTCAGAATTAGATTACTGTCTTTCAGAAATTGATTTACCAGCCCTAAAACTGTTTTGGGTTCTAAAACTTATGGAAGAGAGTCATGGGAATGATCAAAATGTTTTATTACTGAAACAGAAAACTAGTCAGTAAAGCTGAGTATTCCTCTCAATTTTCATTTTTCAGCACTTATTAATTAACATAGCAGCCTTCCAGTATCTGAAGGGGGCATATAGGGATGCTGGGGATGGACTCTTCATTAGGAACTGTAGTGGTAGGACAAGGGGTAATGGGTTAAAACTTAAACAGGGGAAGTTTAGATTGGATATAAGGAGGAAATTCTTTCCTGTGAGGGTGGTGAGGCACTGGAATAGGTTGTCCAGGGAGGTTGTGAATGCTTCATCCCTGGCAGTGTTCAAGGCCAGGTTGGACGAGGCCTTGGGTAATATGGTTTAGAGCAAGGTGTCCCTGCCCATGGCAGGGGGGTTGGAACTTGATGATCTTAAGGTCCTTTCCAACTCTAACTATTCTATGATTCTATGATCATCTGTCATAAGATTATATTTATACAGGAGTATATTTATACTGCTTTTTATCTCTTTAAAAATTACCCAGATAGATTTGGAACAAAGTACTGAAATATTGCTTTAATGGAATTTTCATCTCCTGAAACCCACGAAAAGTAATTAAGTGTATATAAATATAAAAATCATCAAGCAATTAGTTTGGAAAGGAAAAGTTATGAGGAAGAACTAAGTATCTGCATCCTCTTTAGTAACACTGGCCAGTGAGTGAAAGTTGTCCCAGTTAACATACCTCCGAAAAGATGATTAACATGCAATACTAATTTTAAGGATTTTACAAAATACTCTGCAGTTGCAATTCTTATCCTCTATACTGAATTCAGCCAATTATTCCACTTTTTTAAAAGATAACTTTGAGAAATCCTTGATACTTTGCTCAGTTCTTCAGGTGTGCCTTAAGACCCCTCCATCACAACTCATCTCAACTGTTAACAATTTCAGGATTGATTTACAAGAAATATCTCCCACTCTCGTTGGCTCAGCAGCATCAGTTTCTCTCAGAAGAAAAGCTCATTCAGGCAATGCAGGCAAAGTTACTTTCCTACAATTACAATGCAAGTTAGCAGCAACATACTCCAGTGACCACAGAATCAACTTTTTCTTTAGGATAGACTTCTATGGCTCAAGATCTCTGGCTAAAAATAAAGCCTGAGGGCTCAATATATTTTACTGAAGTCATTCTTTAAGAATACAAGGACTACTCCCATTCTTAGTCAATACATATGCTCAACACTTGTTTATTCTTCTTGAAAATGCAGAATGCTACCCAGATGGGTAGTATTTGGTTTTCAAATAGACACAAACAAAAGAGGAGGTTATGCTTTAAAATGAGGAAAGCCTTTGTTTTGCTTTTAACAAATTGGCAGTTATTGCCAATGCGAACTCCCTTTAAAGCCTCTGTATCAGCTGTCTTTCCACAAATACTTTTACTAATAATTTTCAGAAACAAAATTGGAGGTCTAATATCAGCTTCTCCCTACATTGTTACTCATCTCTCTCTCTCCCACAAAGAATCTGAAGTTCTAGTAGTAGGCAGAAACAGTGCAATTGTACATATAGAAAATAGCTTCAGCAACTCCCACTTAACAAAACAGGATTATCAGCCTTTAAGTCTTCACCCTGTCTTCATAAAGATCTAAAGGAAAATCTTGAGCAATATAACATTCACAAAGCACAGAAATGACATACACCTCAGAAATTTTAGACTGAACTAATCAAAAATTAAAACTATATTTTATACATTTAAAACAGATGCACTGCTCACAATTCTTACCTGTATGACTGTTGAAGTGTGCAAAATTAGCAAAATTTGCTGTAGCAGTTGACTGGGGAGCAGCAGCAGCAAAGATATCCGAGCCAAGGTCACTGAGGAGGTCAAATTGTTTCTTTTCTTGTTGCTGCTGTCCTTGAGATCGAGCTACAACAGGAGACTACAAACAAGGTTTTGATTAGCTAATACAAAAAAGCTGATATTTTACCATACTGACTTTTGCAAAAAACTACAAGACATTTTTTCCTTAAGTTTAAGATGCTGTGTACAGCACAGATCCTCCACCCACAATATAAGGGAGACAATCTATTTATGCTTCTATAGTAGCTTTTAAAGGAACTTTGCAGCAAATTTCCGTGGATTAATAGGGCCTAGAAGAATAAATCAGCAGCATACAAGCAGCTTCAAAATTATGTATTTGAAACTGCAAATTCTGCACAAATACAAGCAATAAAAATTTTACAAGCTGGAATACAGTTATTCACTGCATTCTGAAAAAAATCTTTAGAATTCAGTGTAGGGAGAGAAAAAATGAAGGACTTCATAGCAAGGCTGCAAGCTGCTGATTTCTAAAGAGGTCCATTCAAGGATTGTCTGTTACCCTAAAGGTAAAAGAGATTTTCAAGCGAAACTGTTTTCCCTCCAAAACATATGTAAAGCCCAACACTATGTTGCTTGGCTTTACATAACAACATACAGACACTCCTCAAAAGCCACTCAACACAGTTACAAAATGCATAGGAAATAATGACAAACATCACACTTTTCACCCACATATTCACTACTTAATCTCATGGTTAAGACTACCAGGCATTTTACTGTCTTCAAATTAAAAAAAACACACCAAATATGAAAATATATCACATTAGGTTCAAACTTTAGAGAGATACTTAAGTAAAAGTCTACCATAATTAAGCTTGTCAATCACACCAGAAAAATTATGCTTTCTGCAAATAGCCATTCTTAAAAAAATAAATCAATTTGGTCAATAGAAGTAAGTTTAATTTAGAACCTGATCTGCAAACACTTAGTCATCATATCATTAGGTAACGGTTACAATTGCAACAATTCTGCCACTAAAATAGAAAAAGCACTGCTTAACAGTTCTGTGCTTTTCAGCTTTCATTACTCACTTGGCTAGGTGTGCCCTTGTTTAAGTGCAGTGCAGGTGCAGCTTCTCCCAAGAGAGATTTGAGTGGCTTCACCTCAGGTGTGCTGCTTGTACTACTAGCAGAAGACCCCGATATGGATGCATGCACTGATGCCACCACCTTTGCTTGCTCTGGAGGAACATACCTACATTCAAAAAGAGCAATGGGTTTTATAAGTTTAACATGAAAAGTTCTTCTTAACACTGTTAAGACTAAAGTGTGAGAATTGGTATATCTGAGCTCTGCTATATTAACCACTGACTCCAAAACAAGTATTATCAGTAGCCTACAAAATACCCATTATTTAATTATGCCAGATCTTTTTAAAATGGACTAGAATTCCAAGTCATCAATATTTTATAGCACTTACTTAATACAAGCCAGGTGTCTTCCACCCTTAATAAAAGCCTGCAAAATTCTTTACTTTACACTGCTGTTCACATCCCCTTAAGCCATTTCTGTACTGTCAATACATGCTACACACTGAGAAACTGCTGTATTTTTTTCTGCTTCCTGTAGAAGCTCTGAATAAAGTCCAGAAATCATTTTACTTCAGACAGCTGTGCAAAGAGCACACAAGAAGGAAAGCACACTCAAAAATGCAAGGATAACTGTCCACCTTCACTTCTTGCTATAGAGGCAACATTTATAATTGTAAATCTATCTTACCATCTTTTCTTTTCATATTTTTCCTGTAGAAATTCCTTTACTTTCTGTGGATCCCTGAAGTCTGGAATTGCTGATGATCTATCATCAAATAGGCCTAGCCAAATCTGTTTGCACACCTTATGAAAACAAACAACAAGAAAATAACACAACCACAGATTAATCAAAGAAAAATAAATTAAAGCCTATTTAGATTTACCATTGGTAATACATCATAAAAAGTGCACGGCTGCATATTTTTTGTTCCAGACTGAGCTGCTTTAACAACCAACTGGTGCACCATGTACTGGTCTAAATATTTAAAGTTGAAAGACCATCTGTTACAGCAGGGCAAGCAACTCCTAACATAAAATTTCACCCCCAAATACTGCTTTACAAACTATCTGTATCAGGCACTCATGAAGGGGCAAAGCACCTGATTTCTGCTAGTGATATTGAAGACTCTAGTCCTTCACCTAATGCTACACATTCCCTTACCCGTACTCCAGGGTTTAAACTATTTCAACAGATTCCATATGCCCTAAGTCCCATATAGTAGCTCTCAAAGGATCTGAGATTCAGTATTTATACTTATGACTATTTGAGTATAGGAACATTGTTTTTAAAGCAGCCTTTCTTACCATGATGTATACTATACCATAGAAACTGCATTTAATTTACTAAGGCTGACAGAAAGGGAAAGTACTTCTGCTCTGCTTTAATTTTCTAAACGTAGCTGTAAGTAAGCAAAAGCTGAGCCAGTTGCAAAATTCTCAGCCTGATCAGCTTCAATTCTTGAGCAAAACAAGAGGAAAGGTGACTGTTCTCAAAACTAAGACATAGGAATTGTCACATTTCAAATGTTTTCTTTAAGCACTTAAGACTACTCTGCAAGTAACCTGAGTATGGACCCAAATGATACAGCAAACATCAGCTACCCTCTAAAATAAGACTACCATTTTAGAACAGGTTTCTTTCAAAGAAGCAGAGTCAAGAAACCTTTGCTTTTATGATGCATACCCCTTCTTCCAACACCCTTTCTGAAATAGTCCTGAGCATTCTTCTCCGCATGCCTCCTACAAACACTGCCCTCTATTGCTGCAACAGTGTTAGGTTTTGAGCATGGTCCCTCATGACTTTCAGATGAAGCATTCTCTAACGAGCAACAGCTGCAAAAGCTGACAGCCCTGGAAGTTGGCAAATCAAGGTAGAAGCTGTGATACTGCCACTACATCTTTCCCAGTTGACTTCTTCTTTACCAAGCCAGCTAACTTCACCAAAATTGTAGCAAATTCGCATCTTCTAGAGCAGTAGCTGCCAGACATGGTAAAACTTAACAGGTCACTTTCAAAGATTGCTCAGGATTAATTTAGACAGCCTAAGTATGTATTTCATACTTGATGTCTTGAACACCTGCATTTCCAGCACTACACAGTCCTTATTGTCATTTAGTGGATAGAGATGAACAATGGGAAGCACACCTAAGTAATGACCAAATGATAGCCTTAAATTTGTGAATTAGACACTCATCTAAAAATAAGATCAGTAGTTCCTACTTCAAATAAACTCAGCTATTCAATATTCATTCAGCAACTGTACTCCATAAAAGGTTTAACTTCAACACACTGATTTGAGTTAGCAAATTTAAAGTCATTATTTGCAGTATGGTAACAGGTGAAATGAAACTGAAGGTATTTGCATAGTACTTCATAAAAATGTAGAAGATATAAACTTAGCCAAAAAGTCTTAAGTGTGAGCTAAAAGAACAGCTAATAGCATGAAGCACTATTTTAATAGTGGACATCTTTCAGATAAGCACTACTTTCTGCTGACAAAATTTATAGTCAGAACATTCATTGTATAGTTTTAAAGATTTGCAGCGGATAGTCCAGCATGGGCCAGCAGTAGTATTTCCATACTTCCACTTAAAGAGTATAACTGTACAAAGTAGCAGACATATGATTGCTGAGAGGAAGAGAAGTCCTTTTGTGGCTAGTTACAAAAAAGCAGACAGTCCCTACTCAATCCTGCACTTATCCCAATAACACCTGGGGCTATACCATGATTATCAGTTTGCATTCAGCCTAAATTGTGCTAGAGAATGAAAGAGGATTTCCTCTTCCCCACCCATATCAGGCAATTACTCCCTCTTCTCCTACCACCCAAAACAAGTCAGATGAAAGAAACTCATCACAATTACCATGTCACTAGTACCACAGAAACCTGTACCAAGATCAACTCACATAAACAGTCAAACCGCAACCCAGCTTTTCACCTTTTTCCCTCTCCCAGTTTTCTGCTTCATCTTCACCCTGGAGGGCCTAAGTATTCAGAGGGGAAGGGGAGTGGAACCACAAACAAAGAAAACCCACAACAAACACAGCTCCATGTCAAACAGTCTCAAGTCTTCCTGACCACTACAGACCATTTCTAGGAGAAATGAGACAAGAAGGCCCTGTGTGAATTGAGATCATTACCAGGTATAACAGATAACAGTTCTGTGAATATGCAAACAGGTATGAAGGAGGTCTATGCTGTCCAGACACACTGTTGGTTTAAAATGAAGCAAGCTTAATAAAGGTTGCATTGCACTGCAATTTTTGCAGACCTTCAGAAAGCATGCTTCCAAAAGTGTTTCCTGGAACAACAGATTTCTTCTAAACACAAAAAGCAGTACCAACTGAAATATACCTTAAGTTACTATTATAATTTATTTAATTAAACCTGTCAGGCATTCGTTACTGATCCTCTGTTACTGGTAGCAGAAAGAACATTACTACTAATGGCCAGCACACAATACACAACTACCAAGCAAAAGCACCCAGGCTTAGTCACAGACACTTGATCAAGAAGTTGTCATTTTAACAGAGTTTGACAGCAGTAACTATGCAAATACAAGTTAAAATATTTACCACATCAGAAATGCAAATTAAATTTCACATAAGTTTCTTTACCTCAAGAGTTCTTCAAGGAAGTAGTTTCTCAGAAGTCTTAAATACAGACAAGTTCTTTTAGAAGACAAATTTTATGAAGTTTTAGAATCAACAAGAAACTACTAAAAAGCCAGTTTTGTCTAATTCTGTGTGAAGAACCACACAATGCTTTGAACATCAGCAACCATTGCAAGCAAGAATTCAGAACACAATAAAAGGCCCCTTGTCTTTCCTTATTTGCTGGTGACCTGTATGCTCTACTTCTGTTACTATCATCTGACTTGACAGGAATCCACAATACTTCACTGATTATGCTTCAAGTGAGTCACAACACAATTGTCAGCTACCTACAAAAAAAGTAAACGGCAGTGTGCTGTGCATTACCACAGGATGAAATTAAAAACAGAAATTAAACTAAGAAATATTATTGTCAGAACTTGCATTGTCGTAAGAATTTTTTTTAATAGTTATCTTTAGTTTAGTCTTAAAAGTTGCTAACAGTACTGTGTCTTGTGCAAGGAAAAGGCTGCTGTGAGAAATGCACTTTTACTGATGAGGCCATTGTCTTTTTATTTCTTAGCTATTTAAAAGTTACTCTTATTATAAAGATAAAGGATATTTATGCCATATAACTTGCTGTTGAGTTATGGTGGGGAATGATCATTCAGCATTTACATCTTGGGTACCCTGATTACTCCTCACTAATCACAGCTTTTAAATCCACTATCTGAATTTGAAAGTGCTTGAGATACTAAAAGATTGATTTTTCTACATTTCCACAATGTGGTTGTTTGTTAGGGTTTTTGCTGTTTTGGTTTTGGGTTGTTTTGTTTGTGGTTTTTTTTTTTTTTGTTATTTGGGGCTTGGGGTTTGTTACAATTAGATTGGTTTGAGCTTCAGTTCTATGTCCTGTCTTGCCTGACAGCTGCCTAGGCAGGACACCTGAACAAATTAGCAGTTATTTGCAGCATGTGCTGACTCTAGCTCAGCCATTTCTCACAGGACATGGGGGGGAAAAAAAGGTGCAAAAAGGCAGTAAAGGATATACAAATCTGCACAAATCTGAGCTTTAAATTACCAGTCTTCATGGTCAAAGTTTGTTCTTTTTTGATACAAACTTACTATTTGAGAGAAGGAAAAAACACCACACACACAAAACAAAACAAAAAACCACAACAAACCAAAACCCACCAAACCGCCAAGGAAGCAATTTTCAAGGAAAAATTCAGAACAATATGTTTTGAGAAATCTGAATTGATATCCCAAAGAGTACATTTCAAAACACTTCTCTTTTTCAATGTAACGGAAAAGGCTACTGCCCAAGTTTCATGATGCATCTTAAACTCCATTTTGACAAAATTACTCATGCCTTTGCTTTTACAGGTAACACGTGAAGAAGCATCTCAACTCACCACAAAGTTATACATTACTGTTAAGTTACTGCGCCCAAAAATTATACATCACACCATTTCTGGTGATGTCATATTCCGGTGCAGCCATTTAATACCAATACTACTCTTTTTGCAAAAGCAGCACAAATAAGCCTCCATTCAAAAGCTTTGTTATTCACTAAGAGTCTTACTATGCTCCTCCTTTTGATAATCAAAGCTTTATTAAACAAAATGCTCTGCTTGGAGGAGAAGAGCCTGACAAGCTGAAGCCAAGAGTAAACATTCAAGTTATGTGAAAACCCCTAGAAACAGTGGAACATATCCAACAATCCATAACCATTGTCCACTGTCCCTGAAAAGTATAATTAGTCCATGTCCCACTGGTTCACCAGTGCAACAAGGAAAAAGAAAAAAAAGACAGCATTGAAGTTGGAATAATTAAGTGTATGCAGCATTTGAAAGTCTACTTGTGTTGAAGGGTTGACAGAAGCAAGACTGAAGTTTTGCTTGCCTCTACTACACAAAGTAGTAACAAAACAAAGTAAAGCGTTATCTTGACAGGTAACAAGAAGTAGAAAACAAGACTCAGCAGTTATCTTCATGAAATGTAAAAGCTTATGAGAAGCCTTTTACAACTGGTTTGGGAAGAACAGTACCTGTTCTCTGCCAACAATCTCTAATGCTGCAAGGGATGTCATTAAATATTTGGCAAATAGATACCAGGAAGTTCAGAATTAGATCAGTAAGTACAGCATGAAGCAAAGAGGCAAAGAGAATCACAACCAGCTTCAACCTACTCACCCTGACCTGGACAAAAACCCAGGAGGAAGCGAAGCAGAAACTGAGTTGCCATAACTTAAATATACCACTGAAAGGAAAAATTGGGCCAAGCGCATGTCGTATGTTATAATGAAGTCTTTAACTATATTTCTCTTCATACCTTTGGTTTCCCCAAATCTGCACTCAACAGCTATTCTATTTGAGAGAAGTTGTTTTCCAATACACTACTTTCCAGCTTTGACAGAAAGGAACAAAGAAGTCATCCCGTTCAATCCACATCCGGTACTCTACAAGATGAAGTTAAACCAGAAAGGTTTCTGGTTTAAAACCCAGCCTCCTAGTAACGTTTCATGCTTTCAGGAGTTCCAAGCAGGGCTCAAGGGCTAAGAGGAACATAAACATACCCGTTTTCCACAAAAATTTAGCTTTTGGTTTTGCTCCTAGGTTTGTTGTCATGTTTTGGGGTGAGGGGGTTATGTGTTTTTACAGAGCTGGGAAGGTGGGGAAGGACTGGCACATTAAAAAGCTGCTACAAAATAAGAAAAACAAACAAACAAACAAAACCAACAAAGCAAATCCTCAAAACAGCAGTATCCATCAAATTTTGGAGAAAGGCTGAGATAATCTGAGATTTCAGTTATTTCTATTCCAGTGCTACATATTTCAAATAATCAACACTACCATAACCACTTTGTCATAACTATTTCACTGATACACATCCTCCAGTGTGTGTGGGAAGGCAGATATGGGAGGAACAAAGGCTTTCTGCTTGCACAACACATTGAGCCACCACACTTTAGAAACTTCTCTTAGCATAGTTGTGCTCGTTAGGAGTAATAGGAATTCAGTTCAGCCAGCAAAATCAAGTTTGTGCTCATGAAGCTACCTTCTCTTGTATGCAGTTAAGGCAGCAGGAAAAGCTATGACAGGACAAGTACTGCTGCTGGTAGAAGCTGCATTTCAACTAGACAAAGCACACCATCAGACCTACAGCACTTCTTGTTTAGATTCAGACATACCATTGCAGGAAGATTACACATGTCAGTCTAGTTTTAAAAGCTCTAAAGAGATATTACCTTTCAGGAGGCTGGTAAATGCCAAATTAGATTTTTTCCTACCCCCCTCCCCACCCAATAAAATATCCTCCATTATGCACCATACATAATGCTGTCAGTGCAAAGAATTACAGATTACCACACAAGAAAGCTATGTTCCAAAACATAACACTCACCACAGGAAGAAATATTTGGAAACAGTTCCCTTATGTAAGCACATTATAGCTTTGTTTAGTAATTCAGCACTTCTGATATCAATATTATTCAGTAATCTCTGTAGGCTGAAAGAATTTTATACTGCCAGTATACCAATTTCAAAGTCAGTCTGGGTCCAGAAGTTACAGCTGCTTTCATAAGCATGTACTGCAAGGTAACAAATCCTGCTAACAAAGACATTTTCCTACACACAATTGGCTCTTGTACTTCTATATCATATTAGCAGAACCAGGGATGTACAACAAGGACACCTGACTGCACAGCTCATGCTGTCAGGACTCATCAGCTCCAACTCAGTACTGATCTTTCCAATTCAGGGTTTCTAGGCCACATACCACAGTAAAGTCAATTCTAGCAAGGCATTTTGCTCAGGCAAGACACCAGCTCTGAACTAGCCTCATACTGCTATGAGTTCTGCAAAAGTGTGCAAAACTGGCACTTGCTCAGGTGCTAGCAAGAGTTAGGAAGACTGGCACCAAAACAAAATTCAGCACTGTTAAACTATTCCCAAGCAGCTGAGAATACCTGCATAGTGTTCTGCTTAATACCTCAGGTAAACATACATGGCCTTTCCTCCCAAAGGTACACAGACTTTCCAAATACAAGACCAGTACTATCTAAATTTTCTTCCACCATATACATATCAAATTAGGCTATTTGGAAAGGTTCGAAAATACCTGGCAGTTTTGAAAAATGTAGTAGAAAAATTAATTATGTAACTGATTTGCCTCATAATACTATTTTTCAGCTTCGGAGGAAAGTGTCTGAATATTCATTCACAGCTCTAATGGCAACATGAGATTAGTACCACCTCCACTTTCTGCTAACAGTGAGTTCACTTTCTACTACCATTGCTCTACTGAATCAGATGGCTAAGCAACATTATCATTTGATTATGAGTATTCAAACAGATTCATCCCCATACCACTCTCTCATTATTCTTAACATGAAAATACAGTGTGAAAATACATCACACTGTTCTTCATGAAGAGGAGGAGGAGAAAAATCCTACCCAGAAAGTCAGAATTGTTTTATCCTTCAAAAAGGCTTCAGAAGGCACCTGAGTAATATCAGCTTGAAGCTGTCTCCACTCATGCTGCAAAAGCAAACTAATCCAAACACTAGCAAAACCAGAATTTGGACATCTTTTACTCCAGCAGATGAGTAAGCAACACTAAAACATAGATGTATTCTCACACAGTAAAAATCCTTAAATCTGTATTTGAAACAGTTAAAAACTCATCCAAAAAAACCTTCACGTTACCTATGCCAGAAAGACACTCGCTGAAGATGTATATACAGGGAAGAAGATAGTGGTGCATACTGTAACAGATGCTTTGAATAATCTCTTCCCAAAGCAGTGGCTGTGAGGAAGCCTTTTAGTAACAATGTTTTACAAAGGTGGCGATTTGTGACAACTAGAGAAAAGTTACTATTTCAGATAGTAGGATTATTTCTCCCCTTAAAAAAAAAAAACCAAAAAACCAAAAAAAACCCTTCATCATTATAGAATATATTGACCTTATAAGTACTCTTGGAAGGAGAGTGAAAAACTACATCTTCTAAGAACAACTCACTACCTTATCTCAGGGAAGCTTTCTTGCTCTTTTCCTTTCTATTCAGAAACAGATCCCTATTGTACACCAATCATCTGGAAGCCAAAAAGCTTACCACAGAGGCCTTGGCCATGTTGGAGAAAGACTGCGAGGTCAAAGTGGGACAAAAAGTATTTTACAAGCTATAGAAAAACAAAAGAAAAATAGAATACTAGATTGCAAAAACTAGAGCTTTGTATATATAATCTGCAGAACTAAACCAACTGAACATTACAACACCTAAGCCATTCACTGACTGTACTTTGTTTCACATGTCCATATTCTAAAATGATGGACAGTTCCACATTTGAACAAGTTTATCCTAGAAAATTTCACTTCTTATATACATAAGAGCCACCTATGCTGCATACAGCAAGCTAAGCCAAGAAGGTTTGTTGGGTTTTTTTGTGAGGTTGTTTTGTGAAGTCAGATGAACTTCATCTCAATACTTTGGAATACTCACCTGCATACAAGATAAACTGCAATACCAGCAAGAGAAAGCAAAATGTTTATTGCAACACACAGTGTGACAAAGTGAAAATCTGTTTAAATTAGGTTTTAAACTTCTAACAGTGTTTAAAACATCATTTCTGGTCAGTATAAGCACTTTTTAAATCTACCATCTACAACTACAAATAACTATTTAATGTTACTTTACAATTAAGGTAATGCACTGCTATCCAAAAAACCCCAAATTAAAGTCTGGATGGCATTTTCATTTATCAGGTAGCTCACTGAAAACATTGCAATACTTTGATTAGAGAAATAAGTACTACAAACAGAAATATCCCTGCTTTTGAAGCATTATATAGCATTGCAGACATCCGTGAACTTTTTTTATGTCAGTAACAAATTCCGTATCATGTAAGTCTTTATGATTGGCAGACTAGTAAGGTCTATAATGAGAAGGACAACTACACTCATCAGTCAAGCACAGATCACTTAAAGCTTCAGATCAGTGAAAAATGGAAGTGGTAGCAATCTCTAGCTGTTGCAGAAATTAGGTGTGGAGGAAAGAAGGGAGGCACACATAGACACATGTTTTCCTCTACATTTCTGAAGCCTTAAGTAAAGCTGAAGTTTACAAGCTAATCTTGCAGAAAAAGACTCCAACATACTGTATCTATACCCATAAAAGTTACTTTATTATTCTCCCTATGCAAAAAGTCATACTTTTTCTAACTCAGAACATCAGCAAAAGCTGACTCTAAAATCCTCAGTGCTATAGCAGGTATTAAAACACAAACTTCATCCTCAAATTAAAGGCAGCAATAGCCACATGCAGGGTCTACATGTCCCACATGTCCACATAGAGCCAATGCAACATTTACCTCCCAGATTTTGCTAAAAAATTAGTAAGAATAAAAAGACAGTACATTAGAACTTTTTCCTTCAGAGCTGCCTCAAGCCAGTCCGAACATATAGACATTTGTTAGATAACAATCCTTAGGAAAAAAAATAAATTCCATTTTCCTCCGTCTCCAAGAGCCTTCAATGCTGATACACTTTCATTAAAGAAAGGCTACTGAAATAACTAGAAGACTTTCTGACACCTACTCTGAAGAAATACAACTACAAGCAACAAATGTATTTTTGTCACAGTGTGCTCTTTCAGGAAACACTGCTGCACTCAGTCTCAAGGTCTGGGCTTACAGGAAGAAAAAAAAAAATGCATATTGCCTTAAGCAAAAGCAAAAGAAAACCCAATTCAGAAATACTGATCATATGAATCTAGATTGTCTGAGTGGGGCAATAACACATAACACTGATGATCAGCAACCCAAGTGAAACAGCCTCACTTCAAATGAAGCTGGCTTCAGACTTCAGGCTACATTTTGCTATGAACAGAAAAAAAAAAAAAAAAAAAGGAGAAAAATAGACATTTTCCTTAAGTACTATTTTAAAGTTTATCAAGTGGGTTTCGTGCTTTCACATTAATCCCCAAATGATACTTACTTCATTTCCATGTTTCTGCAGAAACTCTATTTCCTGTTGTGTGAAAGTAGTCATTGAAATTGACTTCACTCTGTGGGGTGGATTCAAGCCCCGTCTAAAAGAAGAAGCAAGTAGTATTTAGTCAGTATTCACGAAGTCTGGCATCATATGATCACTTTTAACATTACAACCAAAAAGTTTGAAACTCAGGAGCCATCTCTGTAAAACACACCCATTTTGGTACTGCCATGTAACTTAAGATCATCTTAAAATAACATTCAGCATGCAAAGTCGAATAATTGAGCTTTAGGGAAGACCAGTGTTTACAACTGCAGATGCAAACTCACTCTGATACTTTCTATGCAAAGTGTTTTCTTAAACAGAATTAGACTTTTTTGTCTAATCTGTTTCCCAGAACTTGTTCACCCTTGCTTCTATCTTTCATCTCCCATTCTTCGGCCCTTCTGTTGTAGTTTTCTTTCCCTCCAACTCCTTCCTCACTTCAGCCTATTCTTAGTACAACTTCTACCCAATCACTAGATTTCTTCAAGGTAAACTCCCCAGCTCAGGTTCTTTTTCTCTTGCTTTAACCTATACTTATTGTTTCCTGACAGCATCTTTTTCTAGTTCACTTTTAGCCTTCTATCCACAGGTTTGCCTCCCTCCTCCTGAAACTGCACAAGTCACAACAGCAAAAGCAAAAAAACCAATGTTTTTATTGTATTCTCAATTGAGAGATACTATTACTCATGTAATAGCCCAAAACTTCAGCAGCTCTGCCTTAAGCAAAGATTGGCACTATTCTCATATCCATGCCAGAGACTGCTGAAGCAAGGCTAACAGAAACTCAAGTAATTTGTGCTGCCAAAGCCTGACATTGTCAAACCCAGTTCAGTCAAAACCTGCAAGCATAGAGAAAAATCCTGCTGAGCAACAGTGCCAGTATAAGAAAAAGCTGTCTTTCTTTTCAAACTCTTTCTTTAAATACATGCTAAATACTGCTTTTGCCCACAAATACTTATCAAGTCCTGTTTTGCTCAGTGGAAACAAGAACATTACATCCTACATAGGCCAAACAATGGAGACACTAACTTAGGCAATACAACAGGGCTAGTTTAACAGTCAGGCCTGGATTTTTGTAACGAAAAGAGAAGAAAAATTAAAAGGAAAAAAGAGACTACACATTAACTATGAGACATCAAAGAACACAAAATTTTGTGGTTATATATATGAACAGAAAGTTTCCAGAAAGGAAGTTGGGGAAACTTGCAGAATGTAATATGGGCCTAACAAAAAACTTACAAATCAACTGGTAAGAGTTAGCTTTATTGCTTGTATTTTTGACTATGCTCTGATTATAAATTTGGTTCACATTGCTTTTAGGAATAAAAAACCACCCCACCACTGGCATCCAATTTAAGGCTACTAGTAGTTTTCTTTAAACTCCATGATTGTTTCAGGAACACTGTAAGTTAAATTGTTATAGATCAAAACACTGTATGACAAAAATCTGATGACCCATACAGTAACATTTTATATTCAAGTCTTACCGAAAAAATTTAGCCAGGTGGTTGGCATTCACCTGGTATTTCACAGAAATACATTCCATCAAGTTCTATATTACAATCACTTGCTTTCAGATTAAGTATAAAATTGGTTCCATCTACCTTAGTCTGTTCAATTTACTCTCCTCCTACTAAGGAAGATGTACAGTTAGTTGTAAACTATTTCATGACTATTTTAAAAGCTAGGGTTATTTATTAACACACTGACATGTTTTTCATCCCAGGTAGTATATCTAAACTTTCATGCTAGGTTCTGCTAGAAATTAATTTTTACAATAAGTATAGTTTAAGTGCTATATTGTACATGTGTTTGTAATTGAAAGGCACTGCACAAGTTTAAGCAGTACCTATTCTACACTGATCTGCTACAGCTCTTCAAAACATTTACATCAGCAAACACTTATACTCAGTTCTGTTAAGCAGTAGTATCAAATGTACTTAAAGCATCGACAAGATTTTGTTTAGACTCACTAGAAACTTCCTACATGCTCTTGCATTCCAGTGGGGACTACTCTAGAGTTTTAAGGTTCAGGTTATAAAGTTTCCTGATTTACATATTATATCCATGATGTGCAATAAGATGATGATTTATTTTTTTTTAATATCCTCCGGCTGAAGGAGGACATCCCCATTCCTAAAGCTCAGATCACAACACAGAAGCGCTAGGTGTCTTGCATGATGAGAAAGACCATGTTGCTACATCCATGGTCCAGGAGGACTGGAAATCCTGAACATAACTTTAATAGCCATAAATGCAAAGTTAACGATCAAGCTGCAGTATTATACATACAAGTGTTTATGTTTACTTAACATGGCAAGGGGTGGGAGGAAGCCTGTGAAAAGCCTCCTCTTATGAAAGCAGTGCAAGCAGCCAGAGGGGAACACAGAATTCAAGACAAGAAGGTGCATTTTTCAGCATACAAATATAGCCCACAACATATGCATTATTTTCTTTAGATAAATTACTTTGATTCTACCATTAGAACAGCTGAACCTTAACTTCTTTTATTATTCTAACTAGGATGAGCCACTTTCAGTAACATTATACCCAGGAACTGACTAGAATCTCCCTAAAACAGAGCAGTTGTGAGATTTATGAAGCAGAACTCAAGAACTAAGCCAAGGTACAAAAGGTACTCTTACTTGAAAAACCTAAGATATTTTTTATGCTTCCTTACCTACAAAGATTACTTGATGACCCAAATGATTCACAAACAACTCATCTACATATGGGGGAAGCTTACTGGTAGACAGCCAAGTATGATTATCCCTTCTGAGGAATTCACAAGCCTTTCTTTTTGTATTAAAAAAAAAAAACAAAAAAACAAACCACAAGAAAGCAAAGTTGTTTCCTCGCGTGTATTTTCAAACTTAAACAGAGAAGACTTAGGTTAGATAAAAGGAAGAAATACCTTACTGCGAGTGTGATGAGGCACTGGAACAGGTTGCTCAAGGAAGATGTGGATGCTCCATCCCTGGCAGTGTTCAAGGCCAGGTTGGACAGGGCTTTGAGCAACCTGGTCTAGTGGGAGGGGGGTTGAAACTAGATGATCTTAAGGTCCTTTCCAAACCTAACTATTCTATGATTTGACAAGACCTTTGCACAGTTGTAATGCTTTACAATATTCCATATTTACCAGAAGATAAAATGGATTATAGTGCCTTAGTCCAAATTAATAATATCTAAGTTTAAATTGACCCTGAACAAATACTTGCAACCTGCACCCATGCAGCAGTACCATTTACTCATTTCTCTAGCACAGAGTTCCTGAAGATGACAGCAACCAAACACTCCCTCAGCACTTAATCCAGGTCACAGCTATCTCCTAAGAGACCCTTGGGGAAGATGACAGAGTAAGACTATTCTGTCATCTGCACTCATTCAGTACACCATAGCCAAAACATTCCACATGTAGATCCCACTCATCACTGCCACTTTCTACATGCTCAGTCGTTATTTCTGTGGAATAGCACTGTGACCAGAACTTCTTGCTATGAGATTATACTTCACTGACCCTGCACTTAGTCCAGGCTTCCACTGACACAGCCTATCACAGGGGCAGCTACAGAGAACATTGTTAAAACTGGTGCTCTCACAACAAAGGAAGCTTTAGGCCACTGATACAAAATTCTGAAATCTGGCAATTGAAGCATTAAACATTTAAAATGCTGTCAATGAGCACTGAACATTCGTTATTAGCGTCATTTAGTAGCAAGTTATGGTTGAACTTGTAATTGTTGGCAGGGTGGCCATTCCAGATGTCATCAAATCTGTCTGCAAAGGCCAGGGCTGGGAGGGGGGAAAAAACTTAAAAGAGTGGGCTCTGCTGGAACAGAGGGTCACTTCCATGGGAGGAACAGTGGGCCGACAGCTACGCAACACCTCTAATGTCCACCTGTATCACATTCTAACATGAACTTAAGTCTAAGCCAGTAAAATCCGATTCCCTAAGAAACAGGAAGTTAATGATTCAAATTCAATTGCCAAAGCAATTGTGTCCCAAGGTGTCTGGAAAAAATCTGTGTCCCAAGGTGTCTGGAAAAAAAAGCTTTACAATACCCATGTTACAGTATTTCTATGCAACTATTATCAGCAAAGAGAATATAAGCAGTACTGGCCACTCCTTAATAGTTGTAGCCCTCCCTGGAGACCCTCCCACCATCTCACAAGCTCATTTATTTTTAACAGCGAAAGGCTCACACACACATTTAGAAGCATAGTCAAGGTTAAATAAATTTTATTCTTAAAAAGAAAAAAAAAACAACAAAGAAAGACACCACAAAAAACCAACATCCTTTCTGAACTGTGAGGTATTCACAGTGGTATAGATATCCCCTTTGCTCTCCAGCCATGAAACTAAGAAACTAACATAGGAAATACCCTTAATATATATATACATACACACACGTAAAACACACAGAGCCATTTTCCAAACATGCTCCAAAATATATACGTGTGTGTGTGCAAAACTAGAAAGTCACACCAACATAACCAGCGTCACCTTCACTCTAATAGTTTATTTAAAGCATTTTAATTTTTGCAAAATTTATTTTGGGAAAAGGGACAACAGATCACCATCATTGCACATACTTTTTTTTTTTGGGGGGGGGGGGTATTAGTTTGTTACTAGTATCTGCCATCCAATAGTCCTATCCCAGAATTAAAAATTTCAGCTAGGAATATTATAAGCAGCCAAAAGACCACATGATCCAATAATTGTAAGAAATAGCATTAAAGAGCTTCAACATCCCCCACAGTAACCATAACATTCTAAACATTCTTTGTTGCTCCTTCCTGACACAAGCCCAAAGTGCAAATATCTGAACAAGAGGCTTCCTCAGTAAGTTGGGAGGAAGCAAAAGGTAGGAGTGTCCCAATAAACACATCAGGAGATATATATTTAAAAAAAATAAAGAAATTCAAGGTTAAATAAAACATTTTACAGTACAGAACTTGTGGAAGTGTACGCCTACTCAAACAGGAATATTTTCCATTTGAGAATTTAAGAACATGTTCTTTTTATAAAAGTTAGGAGCAGGCTGAGTAGTACAGAAGTGCTTAAAAGCACAGTATGCACAGACAGCTGAGAAGCAAGGCAAAGAGGCATTTGATAAGACAAAAGGAAGGCTGCTGCCACTGTCAGCAGGACACACGGCAGTACGCAGAAACACAGACATAGCTACCAATATAATCCTTTGAACCAAAGGACTTCTGTCAAACCAACAGAACCCCTCTGCCAACATTACAGTGGTTTTGCTGTAACAAAGACAAGTCTTGTGGTTTTGTATTACCGTAATCCTTAAGCCAAGAAGACTGCTCCTCTAGAGCATTTCCTCCCACTATCAGGGAAGAAATGTTCATGTATACATTTCTACACATCCTATATTCTTGTCAAACACCAAAAAGTTTAATGGGGAGCAGCTTCTGTGATGCTAGCTTGCTTGCTTCCCACCCCCACCCCCCCAAGGAATTTAAACAAAGGACAAGCAGAGGTATTTTAAGAGGAAGGCACTATCGATCACTGTCCATGAACTTTCTCCTGCATATATGATTTTGCAGAGGAAAACTTCTGCTCTGGTAAACCCAAACTGATGAGAAAACTTAAACCCGAAGTATTAAAGAAAAGGACCTGCTCTGTGTTATTCATAGTTCTAACTTGACAAGACTCACCTTCAACACCTGCCAGAAACAGATCTTTTCAGCAAAGTCACCATTTCTCTCATCATTTTTAGCAGTACTTGGAACAAGCCAGACTTTTTTTTTTTTAAATAGTGAAGAATAATTGGGGTTCTTTTAAAGCTAAATCTAGTAATAAATAGCACTGCTCTCTTTCTACACACAGAACCCTTGATGGAAACTAATGATAGATCCAAAATGAAGGTCTGGAGTTTGAATAGACTGTCCTTGCCAGGACAGTGAATAAACACTTCAGAAAACTTAGGGGGAAAAGAAGTTATACTTCGGATTTAAAAAATTTGGAGTTAGCTCGTGGAGAACAACATGCCTAAGATGATACCAATGTTAGCAGCCACTTTTAATTAATTAAGAAACCTTTCTGAAGGAGACTTGTTAATATACCACTATTTTAATTTTTCATTGGGCACTTCATACTTAAAAAAAAAAAATTAAAAAGTCTACTGAACTCAACTCTTAGAATATTTCTTGCACCAGATCAGAAAAAAATAATTAAAACAAGAAGCAATGCTTAGTCTCATCCCTAATAAAAATATCCCACTGGCTAGGTTCTAAGGTGTTAAAGGAACACATGTAATCATGCACACAATTTATGAAAGCATTTCCAAGCCAACATGAAAGAATTAGCCTAATTTCATTTCAGAAGAATGCATTAAGTCCTCTTGACAATCCTTTACTCCAGCTGTAAGCATAGGTATTACTAGCTGTAACAACTAAAAATGTTATTTGTTGTTTCTTTGTCATAGCAACACAAAACCACTGCATATTTAGAATAAGTTATTTGCATTTTATTATAATACCAATACATTAACAACTTTTCTTCATAAAGAGCCTTTCTTCCTTTAAGTATGGTAGCACCCAAATAATGGCAAACTTAACAGCACATGACAGCTGTCCTCTGCTTGCTAGCTGTTTCACTGCATGCACATCCTTTTGGTTGCTATAGACTATGGACTTCAGTAGTCCATACCAACACAGATGAAAGGAACAAGACCTACAGAACCCATGCAAAATATCTCAGCAGTACTCATCATACATCTCTCTGTTAAGGTCAAAAAGCCTGAAAAATAAAGGAAAAAAATCTTACAGAGGAGTTTTATTATGCTGTCAGTTTAACTGGTAAGAACATGTGCAACCATTAAATAAGCCCTGTGCAGTAGCTTAAAATAGTTTCACATGCCAGCACAAATAACAGTTTGCTAACAGAGCAAACAATAGCCAGAGCTGATTAAGTAGCATGTATATGTCAAAAACTAGAGTCTCTTTTCAGTATCACAACCTGAATATGTTTTCTGTATTTGCATCAAGCCTGTTCAAATGTCTACAAAAAAGCAGAAGGGAAAAAAAAACCCAAGACTAATTAGCTGTCTAGTAGTATAAAAGGCATTTTGTTCCATGTAAATTCAACAGAGAACTAACATGTTTGCTTTGTCCTGAATCTCAATATAATTACCAACTTTGTCCTAAAACACCAGACCTTTTACTTGGAAGGCCTATGTGTGGTAATCAGTCCCTCTTAGTAAGGGGACAGAAACTAATTTAGGCTCCTGAATGCCTTAAGTCAAATACAAATCTGTATCCTTTGGCATACTATTTATTACTTACACCACTCTTTGATTCTGCTCAATTTCATAAGCACAATGTCACAGTAATGTAAACAAGCAAACAGATTTAACTATGGAAGCAGTAACACTGAAGATAGTAGTGGTTTTCTCTTCCCCCATGTTAGGCCTTACAGAAATTCAAAATTGACTGATCTCAGCTCTTGGTTTCATGCATGCTATGTCAGAGGAGGAAGGGTGGAAAAGGAAGGAGGAGTGGGGAGGCCCATGCAGGAATGAGGAACAGGAAAAATGCAATCCACTTTATCAGAGCCAATCCCTTTCCAAGGTTTACTTATATAGTTTTTAGGAAGTAACAGAGGCCAGAGCAAAGCCTTCTACTACTTTTCTGATCAAGTATATGAAACTATTAAAGCAAGAGTTTATCTTCCAAGCTAGAGTTTAGTGAGTTGTCCTACAAACTATTATCGGGCATAACTTGATACATAAAAGGCTAGGCTAGTGGTTTAACTTAACATTATACTTTTAAGTTAAACGTTAGGTTAAATGATTTTTAAAATGTTAAACTCGGTATTCACAATAGGATTACTCTCCCCATGTCTTCCAAGACTGTCATGAAAGGGAACTGTTAGCCACGTGCCCCCTTCTCTTTCCAAAAGTATTCTCCACACACACGCTTTATTAACTACACCTTCAATGATACCTTGGGGGGAGGGAGGCGGGAAGGAGAGAATGAGAGGAGAGAGGACGGGCACGCTCTCCCCTTCCCTTGCGTGCCGTGGGCAAACGCTTACACTCCCTACGTGCAGGAAAACACCTCCTCGGGAGCAGCGGTAGGATAAACTCCGGACTGCTGCTACCCGCCGGCCACGAAGGCTGCCGTGCTGCCCGGCCCCGCGCTCATACACCCGGCTAACAACCGCCATCTCCCGGACTGGGGCTCCGGTGGGGAATTTTAAGCAAATACCCCGGGGAAAGCCTTCCGACTGCTCCCCTCCGAAGCGGCTGAACCAGCAGTCCAGCGCTGTCGGGCGGCAGGGAGGAAGGGCGAACCCAAGAAGGAAACGGCCGGCGCAGCGAAGCCGAAGGCGAGGCGCTACACCCCACGTAGCGGCTCGCTGCGCCGCCGCCCCAGCAGAGCCCGGAGGCCGGCCAGGGGCGGAGGTCACCCCGCCGGCGCAAGGGCTGCCCTCCCCCTCCCGGGCCGGCCTGGGGGATGGACCCGAAGGTCCCCCTGCCCACACTCACAGGATGCCGGAGCAGGAGGTGCACACGAAACTGCCCACCGTCATGTCGGTGTAGGTGGGGCCGCGCTGGTCGCAGTCGAAGCACTTGCGGTTGGGCGGGAGGCTGCTCATCTCCCGCAGCAGCTTCAGGTGCTTCTCCTCCTGCTTCCGCTTGGCGCTCGCGGCCATGGCCCCGCCGGCGAGGGGACGGCCCGGCAAGGCGCCGGGCCCTACTCACACCCCAACGGCGGCGGCGCTCCGGGGCCCGGCCGGAGGGAGAGGGGGCCGGGGTGGGGGAAGGAGGAGGAAAGGAAGGGGCGGGCAGGGCACCAGCGCCCGCCGATCAGCCGGGGCGGCAGCGCGGTTGCCGCTTACGCCGGCCAGCGGCCCCGCGAGAGAGAGGGTGGGTGGGCTGGAAGGGGGCGGGCCGAGGGCCGCGGCGAGGAGCAGGCCGGCGGTGGCTGCACCAGGCCCGGGGCGGCTGAATGACGAGCCCAGGCGGAACCTGCGCGACACCTTTATGAGATCAGAGAATGAGATGGCGGCGGCGGAGCCAAACGCGCTCTTCGGCGACAGCGCCCTCTCTCGCGCGGGAGGACGCACTCCCCTTTCGCCGAGACCCCAGCCCGGGGGCGGTGCCTCTAGCGGGGTCGTGTCACCTGCCGCGATTCGGCGGTGCCGGGGGAGAGCTCCGCTGCGGGCAGGGGCTGGTCCTGCGGAGAACTCAAGCGGGCAGATCTGAGCACAATGCCCGGATCGCCCCTATCTGCCGTGTGCTCGTGGAAGGCTGCCCGCGACGCCCACCACCTTCGGGGTGAGCGCGAGGCGCGGCCATTTGCCGCCGGTCCCCCACAATCCCCGCAGAGGCAGGTGGTGCGGAAGGGCTAGGGCTAGGGCTAGAGGGGCTGTTTGTAAAGCAGGTAACGCCGGCCCCGGCACCGCCTCGGCGTTCCCAGTGAGCCTCTGCTGTGCTCTCGTTTCCCAAAAGTCCTAAAATCCCGTCATGGAGGCTGAGGTGAAGGCGGGCCTTTCAGGAAGCGTTTCCCAGAGGGGGCAGCCAGGGAGTCCCTGCCGGCGGCCGTGGGGGTGCCGCGGGGGCGGACCGGCGGGAGTAGCGCTGCACAGAGGGGCTCGTCAGTGCGATTTTCGCAAGGCAGCGGGGTTTGTGAGGAGGACGTTGTCACGGGTCTTTTTTTTGCTACGAAGATGGGAAGTGCGCATTTTCCCCCTGGGAATTTGGCTGTCGGTGGCTGACTGGACACTTTACTCATGAAAGAGAACAGAGCCAGCAGTCACGTATACCTGCTGATATCCTTGAGGAACCCTTGACTGGCTGGAACTCGGATCTGCTGCTGATACATAAAATGTGGTTTTGTTCTTTACAACCGTGCCTGAAGGAATTGTTTTAAACAGTGTGCAAAATCAAAGTAAAATATATATATCTATATAAAAAAATCATGTACTTTATAATTTCATGATTTAAGTTGCAAAACTGCCTCGCAACTCTATGTGTGATTAAAATCTCCTTAAGGTTTAAAGATTCCCAATGCAACGCACTTAGGGCCGAGTTTTGCAGCTCTGACGTCAGTACATATGTTAGCTCTAGCTTTTGTAGGAGCAAGATGTTCCGTTTCCTCATAGTTTTAGTTAAGAAAATCTAGGACTAGGTGTTCAGCATCAGTAGTTTGACATTCCTCCTCTGATCTTGCTGGATGTGCTGATTTACATGAACTGATCAACCAGGCCTAAGATTTAAACCCAGAGTACAATGCACTTATCTCAAAGTTTCCTATTATGGATGGCAGGAGCTGTTCACATTGAAAGATAAACACTGCTAAATCATTAAATACTGCTTACATAGCATTCTTAAAAGTAAACACACAAATATTTCCAGTGTTGTAAGGACCAAATTCTCACTGCTTTCTCTGATTTTTCACTTCTCTGTGAAATGCTGATATTATTCTTACGCAGAAGGTTTCCTTTCTTTTTCTTTGCCTACTACAAAATACGCTAACATTGGAGATTTGCCAATGCCCTAAATGACCTAAAGTAGATGACCTACATTTAGGGGAAAAGAAGGTTAAAGGCTGAAAAACAAGTTGGTTGCGTTTTTTTTTTTCCTGGAAGATACTTTGGAGAGCAATGATTGGCCACAAGACCTGCTGTAGCAAAGAGTTGGGCTTTGTTTCAACCAGAGGCAAAGGGCTTTGTAACTGAATTGAGAACTTCCCACTTCAACTGCTTGTGTCCCAAGGTACTTAACATGAATGTCACACAGGAACAGTTGTGAATAAAAACAGTACTATTGTCATTGAAGTTGTCATGGTCATTAAAAGGTAGAACTGAGCTCTCAGGGAAAATCCAGGTCCTGAGGCTTAAGTCACTCACAAAGCTCCATAGGGGTCCTGCAGATTTTGTGTTACACTAGAGCAGGCTCTACTTTGTTTCATGAAGAAACAGTTCCGAAGTTATTTATGGTCAGCAGCAGTGTGGGCTTATGCTAGCAAACAAATGACCTCTATTAACATTCATGTGGTTTAGAAATCACCTTTTAAAAATACCAAAACTTTCCATTCTGTATCTTATAAAGCTGACTTACCCCAGGAAACTATGAGTCTTCAGAGGCTTGTGAGGATACACCATTTTACAAATACCCATAAACTCTGTAGGATTTGGGTTCTTCTAGAGACTGTGAGCATATCTGCTCCAAACCTTGAGTTCCTACAGTCAAGCATCTAAATCATATTTCCCACAGGAATCGGTGCTTGAGAAATACAACCACCTATGTATAAATGTATGTGTTACGCTGTTGACACATATAGGTGTGAAAGCTAGCTACATTAGCTTCCAGCCCTGTTTCACCTCCCCACAAGCAACACTATAACTTGCGTTGCTATTCCACTCCCTCCTTTTCTATTTTTTGCTGCTCACAGCTAGCATAAGTTCCCTCAAAGCAGATGGCTTGTGTTTTCTCTAAATTACTAAGGGAAAAAACTCACAAATAACACACATGAATAAAAACTCCGTTCTTCAGCATTACTCTTTGATTTTCTTTTTTCTGATAGATTTTTCCGTTTCTCTACCCCAGAATCTGAATTTCCTTTCTTACAGCTTCTCTGTCCAAATTTGCTCTTCGTTCTCTCTTCCTGATGGCCAGACTTCTGTGGTTGGAAAGATACTGGCCAGCTGTTTATTCCAAAAGTGCTTAATCCCTGCTGCACCTGCTACAGCTTTTAGCATTAAAAATTATTTTTAACAAGAGATAAAGCAATGATTTCATATGCTTGAAACATTTCTTTTCATGTAAAAAACACAAAATAAATCTTAGCCAAGTCGTGGGTAATATCAGAGATGTTGCTTTAGTAAGCCCAAAAATATGGGCCTATAGAGTATAAATTATAATATTCAGGCACATAATGTATGAAATTTATTGTCAGTCAAGACCAAAAGAAACAAGAGTCTAAGAATGTACATTTGGGAAATGGATAAGACATTCTGTGTTTGTCACTAGGACTGAGGTCAATAATATCCATTTTAAAGCAATTAGCCCAGCAGGCTAAGTGATGTGAAAATTATCATGCTGAAAAGCTAATGGGCTATTAAATCCATCTTGCTTCACTACTGATGGGCATACAAAATTAATCCTGGGATTAGGTATATCGGATCTGTGGTAAACTGCTCCTGCAATGTTTGAAGCGATTTCTGAGAATGCTAAGGACGCAGCAAGTGTAGCTGGCAAGAAAGTTCACTGATATGCTCTATTAAAGATTCAGTCAACCGAGCATAAATTGGTGTGTCTGTGCCTGGCCTTATCTAAGCCAGAGCTTTTTGTTAATGAATAGACACATTTTAGTAAGAGATCAAACCAAAAGAAAATCATGTTTATATAATTCATTATTGATTGTTGACAGTTATTTAAATCTAGAGAATTTAACTGCAGGAAATGGTCAGGCAAATATGATTGAATTACAAAATTGTTTTTATTTGAAAAGCCATTTTCCTTTGACATTTCCCACTCACTGCTATGACATTAACACAGTAGAAAAGGTAAATGATTGATAGCCCTGCCTTTACCCATAACAGCTGTTCACAGGAAACAGACCTAACCATAAAGACACAGTCATATCAGCTTGGTTTCTTTGTAATGCACAAATTATTGGTCTTTTTCTTTTTTATTTTTAATTAGTGTGACATACAGGTACTCCATTTTGAGTAATGTAGGGTAGGAAGTGATTTTTCAGCCTCCACAGCAATGAAAGTCTGAGAATCAAAGCCGAATTCGGCTCTGAAGATAACATGGAGGAGGCTGAAGGTATGGGGTGAGAGACACAAAACCAAGAGCTAGCCCAAAAGCAGGAAGTAAGAAAGCCCCCTTCCCCCCACCCCCAAAAAAAAAGGAAAGCACAATTCTTTAGATTTCTCTCTTAACAGTTTATGACCTATCTACTATAGCTGTGTTGATAGAACAGCTTTTGCAGTTTCCAAGTGAGATAGATTGAAGCTGTGTAGAACCAGGTATCAGGCATTAATAGCAAAACACATGATCTCCTTGCTGCAAAGTAAACTAGAATGTTCCTCTTCATCTGAACAAACCAGATAGGTTTCAAGAAGAGGGCCATAAAGGTGCAGAATGCCTTTCCAAAGATAACACAACAGATCAACATCAGAGGTGATTAAGAAGTATCTTTTCTCTTAGCTTAATGTTCTGCTCTTGGTGATAATTGCTAAGAATGAAAGTTCCATCATAAATGACAATTTAGATGAGCTTCTTGCAGTTGTTATTTTTTCTAAATTGTTTGAATGGGAAATCTGAGTTGAAATTAATCAAATCAATAACATCCTAAAGTTAGCGTTGCAAAAAAATATGGTTCATTTTGTCTGAGTTAAATCTATTACCCTGTAGTCCAGTTGAATCTACTTGAAATATTTCAGTGGGAAGGACTGAGATTTCCAGGATGGACTCCCATGTAGCACTAGCAATCCTGTACCCCTACCTCTCTTCAGTTTTTCGAGTTAACTAAACTGTTAATTACCTCTCTCACTGAAATACTCTCCTTTGGCTTTCTTCTTCTTTCATTTTCTTCCCATAAAACTAATATATACATATATATATACACACACACACATATACCCACTGATAACAAAAAAAAAAGCCCAATTTCTGATGTTGATTTTTAGCTATTTAGAAAGTTGTTCAGAAGAGTAAGCAGCTTCTGTGTTACTTAATTTGTGCTTATGGTTGTTAACCAAACAATATGCTCTCCTAGCTGGACTGGAACTACTAGGGGACCTTGTGAGCCCATCTTGACTAAGATTACAACTGTTTTACTGCAAGATTTACAAGTCCCTTCAGGAACTGTGTTCAGTGACAGATTACATATTTTCTTTCAGTGGGAAATTTTTGAGTGCAGGATTGCTCCAGCTCATAGTGTAATCCAGTCTAATTAACAGGAGGTTTTCATATCCAGGGAAGACATTTCGGCAGATTTACTTGTTCCAAAGTTACAGAATTTTTTAGTATTTTAATTGTAGTGAGCAATTTTAATAGCTGAGGAGGCATTATTCTCTTCCTGCTTTCTAGCTTGGTCAGTGATGTTGAAAGGTTATCAATATTTCAACCTTGCCCCTTTATTTGACACAGTTCTTGAATTTCCATCATGCCTTAAGTGTACAAGATCATATTTCAGTTTGTAATCACAGACTAGGTAGTGGAAAGAACATGCCTATATACAGTTGCAGTGAAGGCAACGCATCTGTCATAGGAATATCTTCTACGTGAGGTGAATGTGTTTTATTTTTAAGTGCATCTTTACAGTACCTTTATTTTTAGGGTATGTGCCAATGCTTCTGTTGCTAATTTTGATTTGTATTGGTTTACCATTATTCTATAAGATCCTGTAGTTGTATGAAGCTCTATAAACTGTATCACAAATCACAGGACTTATTGTAAAATGATTGTTTCACGTAGCCTTTCTGAAGAACATGCCAGAGGAGAGTGGAACCCTTCAAACTGAAAAGGGTGTATATTCATAGTTCACCCTATAAACAGCAATAGAAAAATAATGGTAAGCCATATCATACTTTACATTTGCTGGAACTGCCCATGGGAATGTTAGCAATACACAAGAGAGCCAAGAGCCTGAAGGCTCAAGTGAGATGTTGTGGAACCAATATGAATAAAGTGAGAAGGAAGCAAACAAATTACCTTAGGAAACAAAGAGCTGAAAGACAGACCTCGATGGTGAAAGACAGTGTAAATCTGTCTAATTTATGGTTATAAATTAGAAGAGGGAGGGACAGAATCTAAATAGATATCTAAACCACCAATAATTTCTGTAGTATTTTGCTACATAAAGTACTAAACCAGGAAATATTTAGTCCCAGCTCTCTGAACAGGAAGAACTTAATTTTCACAATAAAGTTTATATAACAACTTCTTTCTTGACCTATGAATGAGGTTTGTATCTAAAGCCCAGTGTATTTTCAGGTTCAGTTCTTCCATACCTTTTCCACTTGATGATGAGCATTTCCTGCTTGTTTTCTGTATAACTCCCATGGGACTGAAGAGGCCTTTGTTCCTTTTCACTAATGAATCTAAATTATTGATTAGGCAGTTTAATTTGTGGAAACTATGATTGGTTAGTGTTGTCTTAGAACTGCCTTCAACTTGGCAAAAAGAAGTACAGATAGTTTCACAAGCATCTGCAGTGAGGAAAACACAGTATTAAAATAGAAATAGTATTTTCAGTCAGTGTTCTATTATTTCCCCATACTTTACAAACCTCACATATTCTCCTTCAGACTTTCCTAAAATTTTAATTCTTTTAATAAACATCACCTGAGGGCTGATTTCGGGAACACTAGAGAAGAATCAGTTGTTCTGAGCAGGCATCCTTCAGTGCTCACGGTAACCTTGAAGCAGTGTTTACAAGTAGAATCTAAACACAGAAAGCAGATCCTAAACTTTCTAATTCTCTAAGTCAACCTGAATATATAAAGAATGAAAAATGTCAAAGGGGAAGAAAACAGAAGGAGCCTAAGATGCCAACACAAGCTACGAAGTAGCTGTCATGCACTCTGTTATCTGCAACACTGAAATGGTAAATCGGTGACTCCAATGTGTTTCAATCTTGCCTGATAAGCAGGGTTTTATACACTGCACTGAACTGATCAATGAACAGAAGTATCAGAATAACTAAAAATCATTAAAACATCCATTTAGATTTTAAGTGGAATGAAAATGAACAGTATCATAGACTAAAGCAATGGAGATGGACATAACAAAATAGGCAACTTTGGGAAATAGAACTTTCAGATGTCAGATATTCAAATAGGAGAATAAAGAAAATTAGGTATGTAATGTGAATAAGGGAAAATTAAGTTCTTCAGTCACTCTTTCTGAAATAAAATATTTTAGAAGTGGGCTACAAAAGGAAACCTAATCCTTCAACTTTAGTGTAACGTTTCTCATTACTGTAATTTTAAAATCTGAGATACTGCACGAAGTTTTTTTCCATGAATCCCTGAGAATTTGTCTTGTCCAAACTGCAGAGTGGCAGCATTAACAAGGTAAAAGTAAGAGCAATAACAAGATGCACAACAAACAAAAATACTCCAGAGAATGTAGCACAGGCTAGTGCAGTTGCAGTGAATAGATATGGATAATCCCCGGTAGCTGGCAAATATCCTCTTAAGGGAGGTTTTCTGCAAAAGAAGCCTAATCTCAGTCCATACATAGGAAAAATACTGCTAAAACTAGTAACATTTTAGCAATTTCTCTCCATGTAATTTAATTTAGGAAGTAAATGAACAAACCTTCAATATTTTATTTGGAATCATTATTTTAAGAAGAGAAGTGAACCCGTGATATTAAGGCCTCTTGTACATTCTGCTGTACAGCAAGAGCTCCCGCAGCTTCTTGCCTTGAACTGAATGTGTTCAACAATGCATGCCAGAGTTGTAGATACAAACAGCTTAAAAATGAAACAAAATTAAGATTTCTTTCAAGAATGCATTCTCTGGTT